CGCCTCTGAGTTGTTGTTGTTGTATGTGCGGTCAGGCTTACACAAGAGCCACCTCAGGAAACACAGCATGATACACATCAAGTCAGGAGGACACAGAGAAGAGGTGGTTTTAAGAAGAGGAGGTGAGGGACGTCATAAATGTGAGTCTGGTGCGACCGACCTTGAACTGTGGGGGAGGGGGGGCGCCGTGTGGAGGTTGGATGGTGGTTGATCCATGAATCCACTTACCAACTAATTGCTGTTCTGTCATCTTTCCTCGAGTGAAGTGTGATCCCAATCCTGGATGTATATCATTTAAAACCTGCCAGGTTGACCTGGATGACTCGCGTGTTAGAATAAGGTGTGAAGGAGGTCAAAGGGACAGTTAGTCGGAGCGATGGAGCCTTTCGAATGTATGATGAAACGTTTCTTCTTTCAGGGCCACTAAGACTTAACGGAGTATTTTAATCATGAAGCACTTCAGGTTAATTATTCAACTGATTACACATCTTTAATAAAAAACTGGCCTCATTGGGAGGGAAAGGATTTGTTGTGTTTTAATAGTTATGAAAGATACTTTGGCTTATCCCTCTCTTGTGCAAAATGGGTCTAACAATCAATTTTATGTTATAACCACAGACTGTTAATTTTAACGGATGAAGCAGGTAAGGGGGGAGGAGCCAGGTTGTGAAGGGCTTTGTAGGTGAGGATGAAGAGACCGAACTGGATACGCAGGGGGACGGGAAGCCAGTGGAGGTCATGAAGGACGGGGGTGACGTGATCTCGGGTGCAGGAGTGTGTGAGAAGTCGAGCGACGTGGTTCTGAATGTATTGAAGTTTCTTGAGTGTTTTGGATGGTGAACCATAGAGGAGACTGTTGCAATAATCTAGTCTGGAGGTGATGAAGGCGTGGGTGAGGGTCTCAGCAGCTGAGAATGAGAGGGATGGGCGGAGGCGGGCGATGTTTCTGAGGTGGATGAAGGCTGTTTTGGTGATGTGTTTGATGTGTTTGTCGAAAGAAAGAGTTTGGTCGAAGATGACACCAAGGTTACGGATGTGGGGGGAAGGGAATGTTGGATATCCTGACAGGCTGAGAGCTGAGGCGGGTTTTAAGACTCTTGATGAACTGTTACATCCCGCCCACCTGTCAATCATGTCAGCTACTCGCCTCACTATGGATAACATGTATCGTTCATAAAATCAAAATTGAGCCGTTTAGAAGTGTTTTTTTGGCTGTGGTGTGTATGTGAGTTTAGGGGTTCCTAAAGTATACACTCTGCACTCAAACCTCCGCATTGGCTTCATTTCTCAAGACTGGAGGTTGCCGCTTGGTGAACTCAATCACATACAGTTCTGATGAAAACTGTTTTTTAGCCTTAATATGGTTGTTCTGAGGCCAGGAGGATAATCATATAACCCCCTAAAGAGGATCTCTGTTTGGGGGTTAAAATTGTTGAAGTAAGGTTGGTCTTGAATACTCAGTAAACAACCACAAAGTACCTACATGTCCCTCTCTGTTTCCTCGGTTCTAATTGAGGCCTAGTCCACATTTAGACGGGGTTCAAACCTCCGCACCGTGACACAGCATGATCTCAATGTACCAATTCTGCTGCAAGGCAACGCATCGGGCATTACGCTGCATTTGAAAATGATTCAGATTAGATGGTAGCTCTGTTAGCTGTACTGCTCACCCTGCAATCTACAGTGGAATAATGGTGATCATTATGATGAAGACATGGGGTCGTGAATTCATAAGCTGTGTATTATGTGAAACACCTTTAAACCCTTAGACATAATGTTCTTTTGAAGTTATTCTCTTTACTTGAGTTACAGAGTCCAAAATCAAATCACTTTCTTCTGCATAAAACTTGAAGTTTATAAGTTGTTTGAGTGAAACTAAAAGTTCTTCAAGGAGGAATGTGCAACATTTTACATATAAATAAATCATAAATCCAGTCTGTCCTGTGTAAATGTGTCTCTGAGTCATGACTGTCTACAATGAGGGAGAAGCTCGAGTCCCGCTGGCTGTGTTGTTGTCAGAGCCGTGTTTACATGGACGAGACGGCCGGCTCCTCCCCTGTTGCTGTTTTAGTCAAGAACTAGAGAGAAGAAGAAGAACATACTCACTGATTATTTGGATTTCTCGTAGTGTGAAGCTACAAGCTAACTGAAGTGCGCTAACATTAGCATGCTAAAACAACAAAGCAGGATACAGGTGATTGCAGCTTGAGCCAAAGACAATTTTGTCCGCCGCATTTGCCAATCTAGTACAGGTGAATTTGAGTGGAGGGGGGTTGGAGGTGTGTCACTGGAGAAGGTGTGGAGGAGGTGTCGCCAATCACCAGTCTACATCATCTACTGGATCACAAAGTCACACATTCTAACTTTTAAAAAGCAGAGTAAATAAAACCGTAAGACGATGTTTTAAAATGTGATTGGCCATGAATGTTTGATTAAAAATCAGACACTTTTTATGGGCTTTGTGTGTTGTGTTATTCTCACCACACTGAACACGCCTTTATTTTAAAACCGGCTATTTTTAAGTGTGAATACCGCCTGATGTGTGATATTGTGTTAGCGAGCATCTTACCCTTCTCTTCTTTATCCTTGAGCAACACCCAGCCGGTTTAAGTCTGTATCCTATAACACATCACACGTTCTCACTTTAGAAAGCTGCCTGAGCAGCTGATGAAGAGCTGTGACAATCGGGTGGAGTCTCTCGAGGAGCCATCTGTTTACTGAACACATCGTCTGTCATCAGGGACGGACTGGGACTACAAAACAGCCCTGGACTTTGACTCGGCCGGCCCACAACAATCACGGCTGGCACGGGTGTCACAATACTCATGACTCATGACACGATACCATCCAAATTACAGCAATAGCACTGATGTTGATTATAACATCATCTATTCCATGCAATCTTATTATTACTTTATTACTCAATAATCTTAATTAAATTATGCAGTAATTAACTTACTGCACAAATAATAATGAAAACACACCACTACAAATGTAACTTCTGTATTCAAAGTCTTCAAAGTTTGTAAGTATTATCAGAAAACTGTAACGTTACCAAAACTTTCAAAAGTAAGAGCACAACAGTTTTTTATATATACAGTATGTAGCCTATTTCTTATTCTGCATGTGGCATTTTACACCTAAAATGTTTAAAGTGGAGCTGTTTTAACCACTATAATCATTATTTCACTTTATTTTATTTAATTAAATTGTTTGCATTGTACTGAGCAACACAAACTGAGTATAGATAAAAATGTAGCAACACCTGAATAACATTTGCTAACATCAACCAGCAAGTAACTCTCTTTGTCCCTCTCTCATGTCATGTTCCATGCTTCCTTGCCTTGTATCTGTCTGTGGAACTTCCACCAGCTCATCTCTGTCCCTCATCATCACAGGTGGCCCTACCATGCACAACCGTCTGGCTCGCCTACAACACTCTCTTCTTCACTCATGCTGCTAACTTCTTGGATGCTGCTGCTAACGTCAACTTGTGCCTCAGTGCTGCTGCCGGCTGCGCTGCTGAACATTTCAGAGCTTGCGACATTTAGCGGATTCGCATGTCGCATTTTTTTTCCCTCGCCTTCTCAGCCCCACCCTTTTCTTTGCGTTTTTTACCGACGTTATCCATATTTTTGTGCTTCACTACTACTACCAAAGATCGTCTTCGCTGCTACTACTTCTTCTTCTTCTTCTTTTCAATTAGCTGGTGGGCACAGGCGGCTGCCGGCTGGCATCCAACTTAAAGACGCATTGTTGCCACCTACCAGACTGGAGTGTGAAACAGTAGATTAGCAGGAAAAAACAAAAACAAACTGGTGATGACTGCGTGGCGGTCACCGGCCGCGTTCTGTGCATCTCCAGAACACACAGATGGCCAGTCCGCCCCTGTCTGTCACACCTTTTGTGCCTTCATGCCTGCTCATGTGTGTGATGTGTAAATCAACCCTGGACTTAAAAAAACAGCATTTAAATTAAGAAATAAAACTCGATCTAACGGGTAACGCTCTCGCCTTCCTTCGTCTTCTTGTGCATTCTTGTAAGAGATTATTATAATGTGTCGAGTTCTTCTTCGAAACCAATAACATTTTCTGATCCTTGATTAGACTACCACAAGGCTTCAGGGTAGAATCCACACAGTGAGGTAAAAAAGTGTGCAACTTCAATTTAAAGAAAAAGCTCAGTGTTGAAAGTAAATTAAGGATAGGGGAAGAACACTTCCGTATCCTAGCAACACTAAGCGCTGTGGAGAAGCACCCTGATTTTACCTTTGACTATTGCTACTGTTTTTTTGGTTTTATTGAAATTGTAGCACTTAGAGATTTTTGTTTAAATGTAAAGTGCGTTATAAATAAAATGTATTATTATTATCTGAAGATGAGGCTGTAAGTGCTGTCTGTGTAAAAACAATGCTGTCAATGGACACACGCCGCTTACATACAACCATACAGTGTGTCTATCTAACTTAGTTTGAGTTTAATTGTGGATAATTAAATAGTAAATGCTTTAATAGACCTGAGCTTGTAAAGTGTTTTTCTGGTCCTCTGACTACTTAAAGCACTTTTACAATGAGGTCACACCTTCACATTAACACACTGAGGGCGCTATGTGAAGTGTCCATCAGTTTAAACTAATCCCATTCATACACATTTATTCGCTGCACAAGAGGAGCTGGAGCAATTTAGGGTCTTGCCCAAGGACACATTGGACATGTGGCCGCAGGAGCTGGGGATCGAACCCCCGACCTTTCGCTTGAGAGACGACCGACTCTAAGACAGAATGATTTATGACATTTCCTTGAAGACAAAATACCAATCCTGCAGATTCCATCCAAACATTTTGTCAGTAGACATGGTGTAAGTTCACTAAAGGTCATATTTTATTCATCTGATCTGTTCAAAAGTAATAGTTTTTTTTTTATAATTAATTTGATGTTGGTACAAGAAAAGTAACATCCGAACATAAAACACCCAAGTGATAAAAAAAAAGAAGCAAACAAGGACAATTTATAATCATCATTTATAGATCATGGTCACTTTTCCTCATACTCATTCCAAGTACAGGTCTCTGGAAAGCAGAATTTTTGACTGACAGAATGACAGAACGAACACAGAACAGTTGAAAACGGAGACATATTTGAGCTATTCTCCTCTGGGTTTTTGCATCAGCCCCAAGCACACATCAGACAATCTCGTCATACTGTACCACTTGGAAAACACACACGGCAAAGGTAATTTATCATTGTAATCATCCATTATCATCATCATCATCAGCATTCATAAGCTTGGACTTCATTCTCACTCATGTACTGTAAGTCAGGATTGAGCGGGAAGGCAGTGACTCTACCAGTATCCTCAGAAGAGATCCGCAGTTTTTAATGCCACCCTTTCCGCCGCCGTATGCAGTTTTTCGGGGGGAAACGGTTAGGCTACTAACTGGTCTGGGATCGTCTATCTCAGATCTGCATTTGTATAAAAAACTATATAGGAACACATGTAAAAACAGAGGGAGAATCAAATGATCATCAAACTGAAAATAAAAAGCAGATGTCTTCATAAAATCGTCTATGTCTAGCAACACTTAGTAACACTTATGTCTTCTTTTTTTTTTTGTAGTTGTAGTTTTATTCCAAAAATGTTTGAGGAGCAGTTATAGTTTGCATCATCTATACAACAGGCTATAAAACACCACTTTGTCACAGTCCAGAAAGCACATATAGATGTGGTTGTACTGTATATAAACATATGTACTGTAATAAGATAATTTTGCGTGCACGACTCCCCCCGCTCTCCCCCCTCGGTGTCTCTCCTTTGAGTTCACACGATGTGAAAACGAAAGGCCTCCGGATTTCTAAGCTGGCACAATGGACACACTCTTCTTTTTGTAACGTTGTCCTTAAGAGAAACTGCCCATCCAATCTCGTGTCAGCACAGTCATCCAGGTGTTAGTCTCTGCCGGCCATCACTGCCTCTCCAGGGAGCACTTTGGCCTGATTCCTCGCACTTCCATCAGGGTTTTTATTTTATTTTTTTTTTGTCCTCCTCCTCCTCTCCAAATTTTTTTTTTGTCTTCCTCAGTCACCCACAGTAAAATGTTTTGGCGTCTTCATGTATGTATTTTTATTTAATGCATTGTGTCATTTTCTGTATAAAAAAAAAAAAAAGTCCCAACAACACAAACACAGGCAATGTAAATGAGAACATTAAGTTTGTAATGCTGATGCTCCCTCTGCAAAGCGCGTCTGTGCTCCTCTGTGTGTACCAGAAAAGACGGGAGTCAGAGCGTTGTCGTCCCGGCCGAGGAGACAAATCACAGATGTGTTCATATTGTTTGGGGTGACATGTTGGATGTGTTTTTGTTCATCATCCGGTCACCAGAGCCGTTATTCCATAAGTCTGTCTCGACATATTGAGTCCAAAGAAAGTAACTTTTAATTTTTTTCACGTTTGCTCCTCAGAGCATCGTCTCATAGGATAAAAAGACTAAATAGTGTTCATCTTTGTGATTATACTGTACACATGTTGAAGTCCTGATTTGTCTTTTCTGGAAAACGTTCAATTTGGTCAGGCAGGGACCAAATTTTTTCTCACAATCACACGTAGTACTCCTTGTCCTTGTTCTTCTTGTTCTTGCCCGAGGTCTTGGCTGTGTTGACCGGCTTCTCTTTGACCACCGTGCCGTTGGATTGCGCCGAGTTGCTGATGTAGTTGCGGCTCTCGTCCACGTGGTACGAGCCCTCGTCTCTGTTCCGGTATTTGTACATGGCGTAGAGCAGGATGAGGATGCAGAGCGCCGCCGCCGCTACGATGCCGACCACCATCCCCGTCGTGCTGCTGGACTCCCGGAAGACCTCCGACGTGCCGGGGATTCCCCTCGGGCCGGCGCCGGTGGGATTGGCTGCAAGAGAAACAGAGACATGATCACCTCAGTTATCCTGAGCTCATTATCTTATGTTTTACCATCAGTGGAGGCGGGTGCATTATTCTCCAGGGGAGCGAACAGTTTCTCAAAGATGGACCGGGATGTGCAGCTTATGCTGTTAGCATGAAGCTAACACATAATGGAAATTGCCATAGCCTTTTAACTGTTGGCTCAGTTGCTACTCTTCGTTCGACCAAAAATTTAAAACAAAAGTTGTGGCCCAGTTAGTCTAGTAGTTAGTGCGCGCCGTATGTACAGAGGCTAGGGTTCTCCCGTCCCGGGTTCGAGTCCGACATGTGGCTCCTTTCCTGCATGTCATTCCTCTCTCTCTCTCTCTCTCTCTCTCTCTCTCTCTCCCTGATTTCTGACTCCGTCCACTGTCCTGTCTTTAAATACAAGAATAAAACGCCCAAAAAGTAACCTTTGAAAAAATTATAATTTCCTAATTTTATTACAGGGCGGTAAAGGAAGGCTTCGCTCAACTAGCCCATTTATACCAGCCATCGCTGATTATCATGAATATAACAAGAAGCTTCTTCGCATATGTGGATCAATATTACAGTTTAAAACTGGATAACAGTACGGACGACGGGCCTCAGGGCTGCTGGAGCTAAAAGTAGAAGTTGGCTGATCAGATTGACTTTCCTGTCTGTAAGAAAAAGAACAGTTACCCGATAATGTCGACAACACAAAACATCATCCGTATTAATCATGCTGCTGCTTTATGCTTTGCTTCCCAGCTGAACTATTTCTTACTTCAATAGTTTAATAAAAAAAAAAAAGAAGTAGAATCTGAATGTTTAAGCTGTTAACGATCCCATCGCTGTGCTTGATAAAACTGTCAAACATTTTCCCTCGCAGTAAAACGAGACACAAATACCCCCATGTGGATTTTTCTTAAAACTCTCTGAAAGACTATGATTTAAAGCCTTTGTCAGTCACAGAATCGTGAAAATAACTCTGGAAAATTACATTGAAAGGCGGCGCAGTCGATCCCGTCGCACCCTGAAGATGTGAAGTTTCTATTAGAACTTTCAATGAAGATGGGAGTGAGACATTTCTGTCAGCTTTCACTCCATACTGCCTGTTTAGTCAGCTGCCTTTCAGCCTTGTTATTCCTGCTCAACTTTAAAGCGGTAGAACAGATTTTTTTTTTTAAGTGGGGTTGTCTGAGGTACTTGTCAATAATAAATATATTATCCACAGGAGATGGCGGTGAGCTCGGCTCTAAAGCAGTCGGAGTGCCAGCACAGAAGCTATACAATCATCAAATTTGAAGAAAAACTGAAATGGAAAACAATATTGGCATCGAGACAATGATTTTCTTCTTGGTCAGCAAACAGCTTTTTTCAGAGTTGGAAATTAGCACCTGTCACCCCCCAAATACGGGTGTTTTTTATTTTTTTTAAGCAGTTGCAGGTAAATTTGCTCAACCAACCAGATGTCTTTCTTCTCTCTTATTAAGCCATCTGCCCAGGGACAACAGATTGAAATAAGCTAGTTCGCTAAATCTGGTACAAAGCATCTCTTCTCTTCTAAGACAGTATTTTTTTTTAAACTGACCCTGATTTAAATAAACTAAAAAACTAAACCAGACACTGTGGCGGGTGAATAAAAACAACATGACATAACGATTCCTGATAACAAAGAACGTCCATCGAATCGCGGTCTTCTGCTCGTACTGCTCTGACTTTATGAGCACAACCAGGTTGTCGTCTAACCAGCCTCAAAATAATAAACTAAAATCAACTTCTTTTCCCGTCTATGAGAAAGACAAAGAGTTTGTCAGCATCTTCTTTAATAGTTGAAACAGTTCCCTTCATCAAATAGCTCATTACTTAAGTAATATAAGTACATTATACTGAAATATGGGAGATAAAAAAGAGTGGCTGATAGATTTTTGAATCCACCAGTACGAGTGTCAGCAAGGCCATAAAGTTCATATCCAACCCTGCACTTTTTGGTTAAATTTAGCTAAATGAAGTGGTACAAATTGCCCCGTCTGTATAGCCTAGCATGTGCTGGCAGTCCTTCATGTTCCTCAATAAGGGGTCCGAGCGGTCCCGCATCTCCTGTGGCCTCATGCGACCCCTCTCTTAAATCCAGTGACATTTATTGAATTATTTTACATACAGGAGAGAAAAGAAGGATACATGAAAGATAGATTAGATGCAATCAGAAGTGAAGCGGACAAGAAGACTCATTTGTAAATGACTCATTAGGAGCTCATTACATGTCTTAAAGCAGTCATGAATGAACACACCACATTTCCAAGATTCACTTTATATCCACGCAGCATGACTGCATCTCATAGTCTTTTCAGAGAGAAACAATTCTTCAATTGACTCAGCAGATTTTTTTGCCAAAGGCTGTCCCCACTTCTGTTCTGAAAAAAAAAAAGCTGCCATTCAAAAGGAACATATTCTGAGAACACGTCAGCCCCTGATATTATTCAGTCCTCCTGGCACATCTCTCTGTGTGTGTGTTTTTTTTCTTCTTGTAGCCGTCATCGTTTCTCTTAAAGCCCTCTTTGTTGCATTTGTGAAATCCAAACACTCCCAACACTGAAATTTTGGAAATGAAAGCACTCCCGTTCCGCTGGATTTGGGTGAAAAAAAAAACATATTTTGAGGGATTTACAGCTGGGTTCAGATCATATTTATTGGGAGGGGTAAGATGTTGCACTTTGATTTGGATTTAGTCTGGACAGAGTCAAAATAACATCAGACACAGAAATGGCTGTGTTGACACTGGTATGATTAAATTCCTCTGTGTTGACTGGAAAGTTATTATGGTAAAAAGCGTCGCAGTGAAACACTCAGAGGCTCTACATGTACTACAGCAATGGTTATCCTGCACTCAGAAGCACTGTAAAGAAAGAACATTTTATTACCCCTAAATGACCTTAAGTATGGTGCAGTGGTTACTTTTTTTCTCAGGGTTATTTATTCATAAGCCCATGCTAGTTTTAGATGCTGAAATGCAGCCAGATGGCAGAGAGAGGCGTTGTTAAGACTGTTAGCATCGTCAAAGTTTCTCTTCAAAGCAAAGGAGAATGTCGTACCTGGTGTCCTTTCAGGTTTTGTTTGATGACAGCACACTATTTGTCTGTCTTTTGGGAACATAAATGATTCAGCTAAGTCTGCCAGTTTTTCATTGTACGACCGTTGAATATGATCCAATATTTGAATGAATCAATGCTTTAGTGCTTTATTTATATTTGCCCCTCCTTGTAAAGCACTTTGTAACTTGTTTTTGAAGTGTTCTATAAATAAAGATTATTATCATTATTATTATTATTTTGTAATTTTAAGAGTTGGTGCTTCAGTTTTCCTTCCTTAGCTTTGACTATGTGTTCATTGAGCTACAGTAACACGAGAGCTTGTGTCACCCACCAAGAGAACTGTCAGACCACTATACAGCATCTTGAGCAATGGACATATGATCTCAAGGAAGGAACCACGTGCAATACATTCATAGTTACTACAGAAAAGTCATGAATTTTCATGCGAGCAAATCATCACTAATTAGATTTTTATATTTACTACGACAGATCATTTTAATATTTTAAAAAAATGGTCTTTCAAGTGAATGGTAATATATATTTTGGTGTGCCACTCCCTCCTGTCCCATTTCAGCTGTCCCACTTTTCTCACTACTTTTTCCCGGGAACATTTTGTTTTTTTGGGGGGAAATAATTGCATTCTTCAGCTTTGATATGGAACCAGCTGTTAAAAAATGAATTTCTCTCTAAAAAACAAAAAGCTGACATTGTCTCTTCATTATCGCTCTCCTTTGATCTTGTCCAGTCGGAGAAATATTTCCGAACGCTCTTTCCTGAACTAGAACTCAGTATCCATAGTAAAGAGCAACTCTGTTCTGTGTCTCATCAAAAGAGACAAGACATGTGGAAACCAAATTCGGCAGCTATTGAAGTTCAGCACAATCACCTCGTCTTATCTGATCAGATTTTGTTTTATGACGGACTAAATTGTCTGAGCGTGAGCAAAGAGGCCAGTTCTTCTTCTCATTGTCTGAAAAGAGTGTTTCTCCTCGATCCATGAAGGACAGGCAGCATTAATACGATGACACAGCACATCCCGGTCTACTACTTTTAGTGGTAGTTTCTCAAAGTGGAACAAGCACAAAATCGACCCCGGACAGGTTTTGGGATTTTTCAGTGAAGGTGTTCCTGCCCTTCAGATTACACTAAATATAACCATCTGCTGCTTTTCACATCTCAAGGACCATGTCAATGGATTTTTTTGTGTCTCCAATTTCTTTCCTTTTCTGTTTTACAAAGCACTAACTTTACTTTACCTTTCTGCAAACCATGCTAATTTGTTTTAGGGATGCCCCTTTTCAGGCTTCTGCTGGCATCCATTTATTTATTTATTTTTGCAATATGACAATCCATGCAGACTTTTGAAAGTCTTTCCAACTGCAGACTTAATGTGGTAGGTAACTCCATTCAACTAGAGAACTCCAGTTTGGAGCGAAGACTGTATAAAAAAAAATGGACGTCATCTTAGTGACATCACTCAATAGCACCTGAAGCCCATCAATGGTGCTCGCCATTTATGCAGATGCTGTCTCAAACTAACTTTCAATCTGCCAAGAAACGGGCAAAGAGTAGAAACTGCGGCCGACCTCAAGCCAGCAGTGCGTCATGTTGGCCCGTTCGGGGGTCTCCTACATATGTGGCCAAACCATGAAAGATCCATCCAGTGCATTCTTTGTAGCCCAACGTATCCCAGGACGCCAATTCAAATGCAATGGTGGACTTTTTTAAAAGGCCGATGTTTACACTTTTAAATGTAATGTAATTGCCAAGAGCAGAAGCTGAGGCTGACCTCAAGCCTCCTGGGAAACTGCTGCAACACACTCACCTGTCAGTCATCTCAGCCACGCCTTTAATTATGCACATTTATGCAAATTTCCTGCTTAATGAAATCTAAACTGATGAGCTATGGGAA